GGAAGGAGGGAAGGAAGGAAGGAAGGAAGGAAGGAAGGGAGGGAGGGAGGATGGATTTGTTCCTTTATAGAAAGCCCTACTAATTTGTGTACCAAAAAGAAAACTGTAAAATGGAATTAATGGACTTTCAGTGGGCAGGAGTGAAGGCTCAGAAGGTCAGGAAAAGCCAATTTGTCTCAAACACTGATGTTCCCCGGCAGGCACATGCTCACCACTGCCCTCCTCCCCCCTCTTGACTGAGCGTTCAAGTCCACACCCACAAAATACCACATGAGCCACAGAGACAGTTAAAGCACAAATGGTACTAACTTAATTAATCTAAGAGTTTTCTAAATTATGTAAACAGGAGTCATTAATATATGGGACATAATCAGTCACAAGAGCTGGTAACAGTCAAATAGCAGAAACAACTAATTTCAACCCATCTGTATGATTTTGGAATAGGCATGAGTATATCTTGCTTATTTGACTTATACAGAAGGTAAACATAATTTGTAGGGAGTATCCTCACTGAATTTGTGATTGTATTACATACCTGAGCATAACAAGCTTCTTCTATGGCTAACCCCGTTACTAAATCGACCTGAAGATAAAAACATAATTCACTTTCAGCTGGAGTTACTTTTTAAAAAATGGTAAGCTCAATATAAATTCAAATTTAATAACCCTATTCCAAAAGAACAGAACTCTTTGATGTAATACAGCAAATCAGAAGTATGACCAGCATGCAAGACTCTGGAACCAGGCTGCTTGGGCAAATTCGGACTCCACTATGACGAAGCTGTTGACTTTGGGTAAGTTATCTAAGCTCTCTGTGCCTTAGAGAAGAACATCTGAACAAGGGGCTATTTGTAGCCTACCAAATGGGGGTACTGTGAGGATTAGATGAGTTAGTTTAGGTGAAGCCTTTATAAAGCATCTAAGATATATATGTATGGCCTGGCACATAGTAAGTGTCATATAAGGGGTTTCCTATCAGTATTGTTACTCTTATGATAGAAGTTTTAAAAACCAAATACTCTGTAAATTTTTAAAACTGCATTTATTTCTAACAAGTTCAATCTCTTTTTACTGCTATGAAGCACAGGAAGATACAGTGGCTTCTGGGTCTACAAGGAAGAAGTATCTTTCTTCAAAATGCCCATAATTTAACCAAAATATAACTGCTGTCATGAAAAGGCCAATGTCAATGGGTGCCTGCAGTGCTCCCTTGCCCTGCCTACTTCTCTGGTCTGGGGCCTCCACTCCTTTGGAGCTACCTCCCAGGGTCACCACAGGACACTCTACAGACTTGCCTATTTACGTGTCTCCCTGCAGAAAGCACATCAGAATTAACGGTGGAGAGAGCTGGGCTCAGCCCTGAGCCAGGAAGCTCTCCTCGGAGTGTTTTTTTTAATAATACAATACTTACTGGTGCTGAGAATACACAGAATGCCCTGTTCTTTTGGTTTTCTATGAATGACTAGCCAATAAATGTGTCTGTTAACTCAATGGCAAAAATAACAAGCATGTCATAAGCTGCAAGGCATCAGTGAAATTACAAAATTCCGTGGTTATGATGCTGAAACAACAGCAACTATAAGCAGAATGAAATCAATGATGTAGCCAAAAAGAACCTCAGTAGCTTTCAGGAATAGTAGCACGGAAACAGCTATATTTTAGAACATTAAGAAATAATGTAAGGGGGCTGGCCCCGTGGCGTAGCGGTTAAGTGCGCGCACTCCGCTGCTGGCAGCCCAGGTTCAGATCCCCGGCCCGCACCGACGCACGGCTTGTCAGGCCATGCTGTGGTGGTGTCCCACATAAAGTGGAGGAAGATGGGCACGGATATTAGCTCAGGGCCAGTCTTCCTCAGCAAAAAGAGGAGGATTGGCATGGATGTTAGTTCAGGGCTGATCTTCCTCACAAAAAAAAAAGAAATAACGTAAAATCTAAGCTTGGTTTATTTAAATTAAATCTCCTCTACCTACTCTAGCAACAAACTCAAGCATTAAGGCACTCACCTCCATCCCTTGATTAATTGCTAATTTTGCCACTCTCATTGCAACAGGTCCCTAAAATTTAAATTAAAGAAACAGATTTTAAGTATTATTTATGCAAATTACATTGTACATCTCAGTAAAATTGAGAAATTCCCATTACTGGATCCACAGCACTGAAGCAACAATGGTTGTAAGACAGTTCATGGGAAGTTTCTTTTAGGAGCCTTGCAAGGTCTTAATTACACAGCAGTTGTAACAACTCTATTGCATCAGCAGATTATGCAGATTCCCCAGCATGCTGTGGCGAGGCAAATCCTATATACTTAAAGGTTAGCAGGTGGTGTGTGCCCAGTAGAGGGCTTACCATTCTTCAGCAAATCTCCCTAGAAGTGAAGTAGTGAAAAGAGGAGACAGTTATCTGGCACAATACCACACCCACTGGTACAACAGAAGCTTGGGCTGAAGATGAGGCTGACGCTGTTGACTGACATGGGGTTCAGAGAGCATCTGTTTCAGACACTGGCTCTGCATCTTTCCTCCACGGGCACGGATAACTAACCACGATGATGACGTATTAGTCAAGATGTGTCTTCCAGGCAGCGCCCCCACATCACACAGAAGCTTCAAGTCCATTAAGTCCTTAAGGATGTGTGAGGGTTACAGAGGAAAGCACTGGGTGTCCTCTGTGAGAAGGAGATCATTACTTCTGTCTTAGAAAACCACAATCCTCCAGATGGAATTTAGTTATCTGATCATATATTATATTCCTAAAAATTATTTATGGGCGATGAGTTAGAAGTAAGCGGCACATTTTTAAGTGTCTTTGGAATTAAAATGCAAGGTAGGCGCTAAACAACAGGCACAACAAAGGACTCTAATAAGTGAATGGATAAATGCATGACAGCACGGAAAATGCCATTTTTTCCTATCTAGGCATTTTGATTATCAACTTTAACCTATCTAACTTCTCTTCCTAAGTCACATGCTTAAAACTCTTTTTCAGAGGCCACAATTTTCTGAGGCTTAGACAAGTATCTTAGTTAGAATCTTCCAAATGTGATTTGCATGTGTAGTACACATATCAGTACCATTTTTTTAAGGTCATTAATTCATTTTTTTTTAAATCAGAGTGCTCCTCTCAATGAGAATCTTTTCCATTCACTTTTATCATCAGCTGACCCAGACAAGGTGCTTATCAAACTCCCATATGCCCCTTATTAAAATGGAGATGTGGGAGCCAACCCCGTGGCACAGAGGTTAAGTGCGCACCCTCAGCTACTGGCAGCCCGGGTTTGGATCCCGGGCACGCACCGACATACCACTTGTCAGGCCATGCTGTGGCAACGTCCCATGTAAAGCGGAGGAAGATGGGCACGGATGTTAGCCCAGGGCCAGTCTTCCTCAGCAAAAAGAGGAGGATCGGCATGGATGTTAGTTCAGGGCTGATCTTCCTCACACACACACAAAAAATAATAATGGACATGTGCATTCAGGGGTCTGGGGTGGATCTGGGACTCCGCATGTCTCACACACTCCCAGGGGATGCCCAGGCTGCTAGTCCATAGGCCACACTCCGGGTAGTAAGGTTTAGAAAACTGGGAAACAGGAAAATGAAAATGCTATTAGATACAATGCTTATTTAATTAGCTTCTCTTTCAAAATACAAAACAATGCCTCTTCTTCTATACAAATCTTTTTTCTCAGACAGAAAAATGGAAGTAACATATAATACAGAAATCACCTAGAAATACTAATTTTATAGAAGCTTTCTAATTATTTGGAAGAGTAATCATTCAGTGACAGAGACTGTAAAAATAAAAATCATTCCACCTCAAATTTCGTTTTGCAACTTTTGCATAGTTTTACAGTTACACATATTCTGAAGCCATTCAACACCTCCCTCAATCTGGGGAAACACTAATTTTAGCAATTAATGTTCTCAGAGGCATGTCCTCCAGATGAAAGGGATGGTGAGGACAGCCTGGTTTGCCGTGAGGTTGGGTGCAGCTGGATGTGGAGGAGCGGAGGAAGAGGCTCTCAGGAGGGTGAGTTGTGGGCAGTGATGGCATTAACCACAGAGTCACGGGAGAAAGAGCTCGTTCCCAGGAATGAGATAAGGCATCTGAACCGCAGAGACGCCAAGTGGCTAATGAGCCACCTGGGTGGAGCTCTGGAGCAGGGAGCTGAACTCTCAGGTCCAAAGCCCAGGAGAGGCTGGGAATATCAGAACTGGAATTATGCCATAACCTTTCTCAAACACACCCCTGTACTTCAATTGAGACGAGCATTGGTCATCAAGTTTTAAGCCAAAGGAAGTCACTAAACCAACATTTAGTTAACCTATCACTTCTCCTGATACTTGTACTTCTACTTTCTCTTTAGGTGGACATTTCCCTATTATTTCAGGGAACTATTAATACCAAACTTATGGTGAGAGCTTTTTTTTTCTTTTTACTTCTTATAGAAAAATAAATAGAAATAATAGAAATAAATACATAGAAAGATTTACTTTTTAATTCTTTAAGCAGTAAAAATCTTTTCTATTTGCTCCCTCCTCTCCATCAATCCAGAGGGCAAGGTTCTGTTACCTTATATGGGGAATAAACTATATAAGGGCCCTGCCCCGAAAGAGCTTACAGCGCCTACGTTAATTGAGAAGGACTAGTATCAACACTAGGCAGTATGGTTGCAGAAACCAACTCAACCGTGAGGCCCCGTCTGACAGCTCTCCGCGGACAGGCGCGTCACAGCAGACCTGGGCCTTCGTCTGACAACAAAGAACTCCAAGAACACCTTCTGAGACTGGATGCAAAACTGCAAACAGATGTGGGGGTGTATGCATTTTTCTGGATAGAAATTGCATGGGATTCCCAAAAGGGTCCATGGCCCCAAACAGGTGACAAACTGTTTGAGTTAAACGACTGAGTTGAAGAGGAAGTCACTGTGACTCCAGAAATGGTTAGGGGGTCATGCAACTCGAAACTCCATTAGGGATAAAGACAAACCATTAACTGTTTACACAGCAAAATCCTTTCATCTGTGACTTCAGAAGGAAGGAATATTTGCAAAATACACCTGGAAGAGTGAGAGAACAAAGAAACCCTGAGAACCGGACCCTCAATGCACTGTTATAAATATTACTCACGAGGCCTGTCATCTGTGAGTAAACGCGCAGTGCGTTCCAGATTTGAAAGGGTAATTGTGAGGAAGTACACCATGTATAAAGCAGGTAAAACAATGTCTATGTCACCATGAAAACAAACACAATGAGACAAACAACTGCCACTGTTTCAGCAGGTCATCTCAAAGGGACCTATCGCCAGGCATACTCGCCTGTGGTCTCCTTACATATTTGTGCCTCAATGCGTTTCAGCTTGGGGGGACCCAGTGTGACAGCCCATCCATCGCTGTTTCTCTCTACGTGCACAGCTCAGGTCGGAAGGGTCAGCTGATGAGCGACTGAGGTTGCTGGAAGTTCTGTCCCATGTGACCAACATGCACGTACGTGATAATCAGCAAGGCATGGCTAAAGCACGGGCCTCAGACTACCTTCAAATCTGAAGGCCCTTAATGTAAATCACGCATACTATTTCTAGTTTTACAGCTACCACGTCCTTCTCTACTTGGAAAGCAAGCCAAGGCCATCACAGGTATTAGAGTTGACTGTTGTTTTCGTCAATTTGCTGTAAAGTGATGGAAAAAGAGAAAAAAAGAAAATGTAATTAGAAATACCTGAGGTAAAAACTCTCTTGCTAGGTCCAAGGCTTTTCTGTAGGCAGCGTCCCCCTCTTGGTTCTGTTCTAGAACGTGGCTGATCAAGCCCACTGCTTTGGCTTCTTGGCCATCGAGCACACGTGCAGAGAAGATGAGCTCTTTGGCCAGGGACATTCCAATGGTGCGTGGCAGCCGCTGCGTCCCCCCTGCGGTGGATGAGAGAGAAAATGCAAGCAATGATTTGATACCCTTTGGTTTTAACATTTCAATGTTTCATTTTTTCATTTATAAAAATAAACCAGGGCCAGAAGTTTATATGTCAAATCAGTAACTGGAAAACTACTTCAAAACAGAATCTAATTTCCTAGTTTATAAAATTAACAACACCCAAAAAGCACTTGAGAACCTTCTATCATTATTAAGTGACTCTGACACTGACTATTACTAGCAACACGGCCGGTGTGTTTTCTGAATCGAACCCGCAATCATTACCACATCGGGAACTATGAGATGGTCAGCGATGGGCAGGCAATGCTGCCCCTTAGTCCATTCACCTGAGGAACGACAGGTCCACCAAACTTGGCATTTTCCTTTCAGTTCTGATAAGACTTATCAAGTTCTGAGAAATTCAACTCATGTGCTTTTAAAGAACCATTTATGGTAAATGAATTACAAACTATTTTAATCTAATAAGAATAAAAACACATAAAAAACTCATGAAAACAGGCCTTGTCCTGGTAGTGCTTATTTTGTCATGCAAGTACTAATCGTCCCCTGACACACTACTCCATTACACCCATCTGTCTACTCACTCCGGTGTCTTCTAGGGATGAGGCCAGGATCTCATGAAATAGAAAGTGGGACAAAAGCAGTCAATATGCTTACTGGCAGCCTCAATTCCTACCACTAAGAACACAAAAACAGCTGCAACATTAGGATTCGTCTACATCTTATCCTTAAAATGGCAGCAGGGCTGCCCAGGGTTGGGTGGGGGGCCAGGTGGCCCAGATGGCCAGGCGGCACAGCAGCGGCTGGCTGCCTGGTTTCACAGGAGATAAAGCAAACTGATGGCCTGCTGTGCAAACAAGCTCACTGCGTTTCGTTTGACCTACAAAGGTTAAACTTTTTTTTTCTGTGTTAGTTACTAACATTTAAAAACTGGGTGGGTGATTTCATACACAAACCGATTTCCCTGGAAGTCACCTGCAGCCGCACCTTTGGGCTGCAGTGCCCTCCAGTTTGCCACAGTCTCTGTCACTCCAGTACTTTAGACTGGGAAGTGCTGCTTCCTTTAAACAACTTTAAAAGGAAAGCAAAATCTTTTCTTATTCACATCTCAATCAAAAGTGGGAAAAAGGAAAAATAAAGACCACAAGTTTCAAGAAATATATCCCTTCAGTAATTAAGCATATTCCTATATGTTTCACAAACAAAGCCACACCTGCATTGGAAGAATACAGCTTATGATGCTATTATCAAGACACCATATTAAGAACCATGACCTATATTTAGAAAATATGAGTGACTAAAAAAAGGAAACAAAAACAAACCTCAATGAATTGGAAAAGGACTGACATTTTCAATAGGGATTGTTTTTGAACATAAATGAGTTGCTTCTGTAAAATGCAGGTATATATTAAGTTTTTACACTGCCTAAGCAGTTAGAGATGGTGAGTTTATAACTGTTTTACTCAATATGGCAGAAAATGTGTCTGAAAAAATGAAGCATTGACAAATTTCAATCTAACTGTAAATAATGATGTTGCTCAGTGTAGTAAAGACAGGTCTGAGAACTTATGGGACAAGCTGCATGGAAAAGACAAGTTATTTATGGTGTTTCCAATGGCAGCTGATTAGAAGAGATATATAAATAACACAACCCAGATAGCTATATTTACTCATGGAGCTGATGAGAATTTTCATGAGACTGAAGAACCAGTATTCATGATAAGCACAACTTTAAGAAATGATTCTTTTCTGTATTCTGTGAAAAGTTTAATGTAGATTGGTTAAAATTAACAAATGTGACCCTCAATGGTCATTGTTAATGTCGCACTTTTTATTCAACTGAAACTCTGTATTTTGCAAGTCCATAAAGCTTAAGCCCATTCATTATAGCATTTCCTTTATAGTATCATTCCCCAGAAATGAGGATTTTGTAAAAATTTAACAAAGGAACAGTCATGAAACTAACACCATGAAACAGAGCCACTCCTTCGAGCTGACTGGCACACAACTCAGAACTCTGCTTGATGAACTGGATGCATGACATAGCAGTCAGCTGGAGGGTGTGATGTGAGGGCGAGAGGCCTGGTGTCAGAGAGCTTTCTGTTCTGTCGTAAATAACGCATCACAGGATCCCAAGGAGAGTCCCCGCCCTGGCTCGCCAACTGACACTGCATCCAAGATTTGGCCTTTCTGGTTGACCTCCCAAGCCATCTACTATAGGAACCTCAATAAGTGAAATCATACAGTCTTTGTCCTTTTGTGACTGGCTTATTTCACTGAGCATAATGTCTTCAAGGTTCATCCATGTCGTAGCATATGTCAGAATTTCATTCCTTTGTAAGGCTGAATAATATTCCATTGTACGGATATACGCTTTGTTTATTCATTCATCCATTGATGGACATTTGGATTGCTTCCACCGTTTGGCCATCAGGAATAATGCTGTCATGAATATGTGTATGCAAATATCTCTTTGAGACCCTGCTTTCAATTCTTTCGGGTGGATACCCAGAAGCAGAATTGCTGGATAATATAGTAAATCTATGTTTAATTTTTCTGAGGAACAGCCATACTGTTTTCCATAGCAGTTACACCATTTTACCCCATTTTACATTCCCACCAATAGGGCACAAGGGTTCCAATTTCTCCACATTCTCACCAATACTTCTTATATGGTTTTTGTTTTTTTTGATGGTAGCCATCCTAATGGGTGTGAAGTAGTATCTCATTGTGGTTTTTGATTTGCACTTGCCCAGCAACTAGTGATTTGGGGCATCTTTTCATGCGCTTATTGGCCATTTGTACATTGTCTTTGGAGAAAGTCTATTTAAGTCCTTTGCCCATTTTTTAATTGGGTTTTTTATTATTGAGTTGTAGGAGTTCTTTATATATTCTGGATACTAGTCCCGTATCAGATACATGACTTGCAAATATCTTCTCCCTTTCCATTGGTTGCCTTTTCACTCTGTCGACAGTGTCCTTTGATGCACAAAAGTTTTTAATTTTGATGAAATCCAATTTACCTATTTTTTTTTGTTGCCTGTGCTTTTGCTGTCATATCCAAGAAATCATTGCCAAATCCATCGTCAAGAAGTTTTTCCACTATTTTTTTCTAAGAGTTTTGTAGTTTCAACTCTCACATTAAGGTTTCTGATCCATTTCCAGGTAATTTTTCTCTGTGGTATAAGGTAAGAGTCCAACTTCATTTTTTGCAGGTGGAAATCTAGTTTCCTCAGCACCATTTGTTGGAAGCGGCATTCTTAAATAGTTACACAAATATATGATTTAATTCACTCATTCTTACTGAAATTTTATCTTTAGGAAACCTGTTTGGTAAGAAATTACCTGGCCCATTTTCCTATGCTGCAATCAGTTTGCAGAAATCAAAGATTGATAGTCTGACCTATATTTTTACATTTGTGGAACTGAAGGTAACTGCCAGGCATATAGAATTTGTGATTTCGAACATGATAAAAATGATATGACCTGTTCAGTTTGCCTTTATCAATTAATACTGATAGTGTGAGCAAAGAGCTGTACAAATGGGAGTTACTGAGCCGCAGTGCAATATGATACAAAAAACTACATATGACTGACATGAATCTCAGATTTCTACAAATATCTCAGGCACAGTTGGCCTAAATAGAAAATCTTTTTATGCCAACATCCTACTCCAGTTTGGAAGTACTTCTGTTTATGAACAGCTATTTTCTATTATGAAATTGAACAAAACTGACCACCACCACTGGTCAGGGGAGTCAAGGCTCAGTGCAGCACCACATCCCACGACCTCAGAGACAAGACGTGCTGCTGGGACCTGGGGTGGAAGACAAGGCGCCAGATTTCAGGTTCCAATGCAAAGAGGAGTACTAGAGAGAACTCATCTCAGTTCATCTTTTATTCATTCTCAATACTAAATTCCAGTATTAGCTTAGAGTTAGGTAAAAACAAAGACAGTGTGTCACATTTCTGCCAGTTGATTTTCTCACACCAGGCTTACTTCTCCAGATCACACAACAGGCTCAGTGCCCGCAGAGATCTGAGTCCAGCATCACTGAAGTGCCATCTCTAGAGACAGTCTTGGGGACTGATGAAATGAAACAGTGGAATTAAAAACAGGGTTGTCTCCAGTGGAATTAAAATTGTTCCACTGACAGCAGCCCTAAAGCATTCAAGATCATGGAGCTCTACAAGCCTCTCTTCAACTCACACTACTGTCCATCCCAATCGCTTCCAACACAGAGCCCTGACTCCCGGTCAGGCCCTGCTCTGAGGCTCAGAGAGTTTTAATAACTTGCCCAAGTCACAGAGTTAGGTTGCAGAAACAGGATTCAAACTGACCTCTGCCTGATTCTTATCTGTGGTAAGAAAGTAAAGTGCAACTTATGAAATGAATTCATGGCTTTGGCTTATTTTATAAAATAAAAGGGGTGTATGTGGGTACATCTAAGTAGGTACACAATGTAAGCAGGCATATACATATATCAAATGTGTCCAGAAAGTTAAGTTGTCTCTGTCGGGTCAGCTGATATATAATGCTCATTGTTTTTCATTTTGCCTTCCTGTATTTCCAAAATGTTCTGCAATATATAGGTAATACGACACTGTAATAGGAATAAAAGTGCTACCCCATTTTTGAAGCCCACAGTACAGAGAGACAGAGCCAGCCACTAAGTAAAAGCATCCCAAGCCACTTCCTGCCCATGTTCCCAGGAAGTTCTCCAGGCTTCAGCTCTCTTGGGCTGTAGTGGCAGTACTAAGGGATCATGGTATCAGCAAACAAAACACTCACGGGACACTCCTGCAGGTACCCCATGGTACTATCAGATACAGGGAGAAATGTGTACGTGAACAGAGAATTTCCCTGACAGCTCACAAGGCTCCTGCTAGAACAAGTACCTCAACCACTCCCAGGGACAGTAAATCTACAGCACATTTTCTTCCACAAAAAACTATTCCTGAGTCACTTCATCACCTA